CTCCCCCATATGCCCAAACTCCAAACCACCCATACGCCAGTCAAACCTATCGCCCCATCTCTCCTCACGTCGACGTGACCCACATTTACGTGTGGTGTTTTTTTCTAGTTCCACAGTTTGAAGGAACACAGCGATCTTGTTTTGGTACGGCCCTTGGGTACACAGTGGAGGTTGCCTGCTGCACTCAGCACGCAGGCTTCACCTGTGGAAACGTTTGTTCTTCGCGCGAACTCGTGTTTTCTTATGGGAGCCAAGACGACAAGACAAACACTTAGAGAACAGATAGTCTTTCTCACTTGCCATCTGTGTGCCAGCAAAGATGTACGCACAGGAAAAAAATCGCACCCTATTAATATTTTCTCTCAGAACGGAAAGAAGCTCATTTGCATGGTTTTTGCAGCGCTTGCCGGATAAGAAAGATCTAAATAAAAAACAAGATAAAGACAGCCCTAGTAATTTGCGGTTAACAGTGACAAGGATACAAAAGCAATTCTAGTCAAATAGATTACTTTAAGATAGGTATCGAAGATGATGCATAACTAGTACAATTTCAACAGATATTGCAAAGTTTGTGACAACCAATGCAATCTGATATGTCTACATGTCTACAATGTACTAGATCTTCACATAAGCTTTCTGTAAAAGAAAACACTAAAATGTATAACTCCAAAATAGAAGAATCCCATGTACCCTGTAGGAAAACTATCCATCCCTAACAGACCTACACAGAGGACTCCTTTCTTTGTCCGGATTGAGGTACTCTCGACCCCAGGTCCCCCTCTACATAAGTCTCGTTCACATGGGCCACTGAACCCCGTTGTTTGTTTTTATTTGCAGAACGTTTTAGGGACAATTTGGGACTAAGGTTGGTGATCTCATAGGCTGAAATGTTTCTGATCTTTTCACACTGAGATTGGGAGACAATTTCTGAGGGAAAGGATTCTGTTTTCTGTGCTTCAACAAGTATTGACATGCCCCCCTCCCCCATCGAGACCTACATGTACAGTTGAGCCTACATTTCATTCCAAGTAATTTCAAACAATCACCTTTCACAATCGAAACTTTGCTATTCAGGAGGAGGCTCGTGGTAAAAGAAAACAACTCTTTCTTTTCCTTTTCGTGGATCCTGAATCCCTGGATCCAGAGTCTATTGACATATCTTTCCCGTGCTGAAATCACTGTACACATCGCCCTTGTTATGGACCAACACCTCCCATTGTTCACACCTATTTGCGAAACGGTTCGGGAGTATATTACGAGTTTATTAAAAGTCAATTAGCATGTTCAGTGAGGTGAGAAGTGTTGTTTACAGCAATCATGTCACAATAGAACATGTCCACTCGTAGGCGGGCCAATAGTTAACCCCTCTGGAAAAGGGCAGTGAGTATGTCTGTCGACCAACACAGATCGAGTGTGTATAATACAATGAGAAGAGACACCAATGAACATTTACTAGCCTAATATTTAGATCACTGGGGTAAGAGTGTGGGGGAAATTCGTACTTCAGAATGTGAAAATAAGTTGCATAATCAATTTTGAAAGTTGCTGCATACCGGTGCAGCTATAGCGAGGGATGTGGAGATTGTATATATTGTTGAAAATGTATTTTCAATATTTGCATGTAGTTTTCGTCTGGTTAATGCATGCATAGAATATTCGCCTGCTTATTCCATTCATTCAAGCAAACTTTGCCCCCCTCCCCCAGCTGCAGGTTACCTGAGAGAGAGTCTATAAAACGGGTGATGAATTGTTTCAAGGAGGTTATATGGGAAAAGTCGGTGGTGATTTGTCGGCACATTTTCCTGCGGTGTGCGGGCGGGGCGGCACAGTTGGTCCGCACCGCAGGCATCTGCTCTGCCGTGTTTACGCGGGAAATCCGCTACAGTGTGAACGATACAACAGATACAACTTGTATCGTTCTTTAGTACTTTTACTTCTCTCAGTAACGGCAGTGTGTGTGTGTGTGTGATCAGCAATGATCTGACCACTTCGTTGCCTATGCCATATAGAAGTACGTTTAGTTTTAAAATCTGTAAGAAATTGCTTTTGCATATTGTATTCAGTAGAAGATACTCGAGTCTAAAATTGCTGGAAAATTGCTCTATGTCTTGACTACAACTCGACAGCCCCCCTCCCCATGTACTTCACGCCCTGTCCTGTAAGTCATCCTGTACAAGCCAGTAAGGCGGGGCAGCGCTAATGAAGGAATGCGGGCAGGGGTAAGCCGAGCTCCCGCCATGTGTGTGGCGCGCCTCGCCGCTGACGGCTCCGCCCGCCCGCGTTAATGTCACCTACAGTTACCAAGAACAATACCCGCTAGACGTGCGCCCGGCCCTCCCAGATAACCTCTCACCCCGCCCAGCAGAGAACCCTTAATTGACTTTAGATCGGCCCAGCTGGGGCGCCGTACAAATGTTCCACCATGTTCCTGCGGTTTAAACCGTCAATCAGGGTTAAAATCGTGATGAATGTGCTGTCATGTCACGATCTGTGCTCAGGTCTTCACGTGTTTGTATTTTTTGGCCATCTTTTTTCACTCGTCACAACAGTAATGATGTAGCTAGCGGGTCTGTTACATAATGAATGGGATAACAAGCTTTGATGCACATATGGTACCACGAGTTTGGGTTACAAAATATACTACAAGCTAAGCAGATCATTTGTCAATTTTGAATTTATGTTTGACTCATAAGGTATAACTTATCTCTATCTTTTAAACGGACATTATTTCCTGTGTCCTTGTTTTATAGCCTGAAAACGGTTGACTGGCGTTACAAGTTATAAAGGTGATCGATTACACATATATTACCTCAGACAGTCATAAATATTTAGATCTCTTTTAATCCTGACAGTTATCCTATTTTCTCGCCCAAGGGCTCGTGTTAAAACCCCATCGAACACGGATCTAGGTATGAATAACAACCCTCCAGTCTGCTGCAAAGGCAAAAGCTGCATAAACTTTTATTGTCTTCCTTTTCCTTCTTTTGTTCTTTCTCTCTGCGTGTCTGAGGCGTTTGGTGGATTTATAACCGCCAGGAAATGTGGAAACCGCGCGCCTGCTGCCCTGGCTGATGTCGGAATCTCGGCCAGTCGTTCTGTGACTCACACGGACTTCTGGGGACCGATAAGCGTGAGGAATAACCTGCGAGAAATCGTTCTACATGGGGTCAACTCTGATGGGCAGGGAGATAGGGCTGACAGCACCGCCGCCAAACGTGACACGCACTTTCTGCGCGTCTGGAGGCGAACTTGGCAACACCGCAACGGAATGCAACAGACATTCTGTTACATGCTAGTCTTTGTAACGTTTGCATAGTCATAGCTAACTAACAACTCCTTTTGGCAATCACAAAAAAGAAAACTAAATTTGTATAATATAAAAATAGTATTTTACATATTCGCTTCAGAAATCACATTGATAAGATATGTTTTGAACACCGCCGTTCTAGTTATTTACGTTTCTCGTGAGGCTAAAGCAAGGGTGGGATCGAGCAGGGAAATTTCTAATGAGGAGAAAAGTATTTAAAGAAGCGATGATTGATGAGGAATACAACTGAGTGACGGGGGTGGGCCCCCCGGGGCCGCGAGGTGTTGACAGACGTGACTCCCCCGGGGTAATGGAGTAACAGCGGACTGTTATTTCAAATCTGGCATACTGTCGGCAGATTATGGAACCCATTACTTAGCACCAGTCATATTTGAAACATAAAAAATCTCAAAAATAATAAAACCTACCAAATCGCTATGAACATAATCTTGTGTCAAATTTCTAGTAAGTAGGTCTGGAAATCGTATAACTAGCATGCGTATGTTTTCACGTTTACAAACCCTATATTGTACGAGTGTTATATATATGCTGGATGCTGCCACTTCCTACCCCCTACACGAGTACACCTTTCTATTTTCTGTGCACTTTTTTGCTGTATGTCGTGACAGAAAATTTGCCTGCTATTGTTGATATTCAGCATTTTGTAGTGACCAATTTTTCAAATTTTCTCAAGAGTTATTTTTTCAGCCAAACGAGGAAGTGTGTCACTTCTCAAATCCGCCCGACGGGTCCTTATCAAATCTGTGACGTCATGATGAATACAAGACTGGCAGAACGTTGGGAGAAGTTGCTGTTACTGTTACAACACTTCACGTCTTGCGATGTTTCCTCCGATAAAGTCTTCTTACGCGACAGCTGCAGCATGAATGACTTTGAACATGAAATGTCTTTGTCCCTTAAAAGATCATTCAACCAAATGTGGAAGCAATCAGTGAACACTGCCTAAACGCCGAAACTGATACAGTAACTACAGGTCACTCCGTGTTTTATACGTTTATTTTCTATGGGACAGACCAAGTGAAATCGTTCCTCGTATAGCAAATGACTAATAGTAATACTGAGAAAAGTACTGGAAAAACAAGCTTGTCATCGCGGGGATAACGTAAGAGGGTAGCTGTCGTGTGCGCCAGTCTTTCCGAAATTCCGGGAAGAGATATACTGCTAAGGAAACGCGAACGAACAGCGCACACGAAGGGGAGGACAGGTTTCCCGCCGATTAGTCAGACAAGTGTGACTGTTAGTTATTACGTGGAACAGTAGACGGGATGGAGGAGAGATAAGGGAAAATCTGGCTGCCAACTTTCTACATCTGCGTCCCCAATCTCTCCGCCTGAATGGCGCGTTGTGGGTACCGGTGACATAAACCATGTGCTCGGGACGACGCTCGTCAGGCCCCGAGGCCCACCCCGACAGCAGTCCCGCTATACAGACTTGCCATTCATTCGTTGTTTTTAATAGCAAACGTTTAAGACCAGCGCGTTTTCGCCCGTGTCTAGTTTCACGGGGGCTGTCCGAGGTATCGCCTGTGCTCACACACCTGTGCGTTAGAAATATGTCCCGAGTATGCGGGGGCTCAGGTAGGGTCAGGACACGGCGGGCCTCAACAAGTTTCAATGGGGCAAGACTTTTTATAGAACTTTATACCGACTAAGTCAGAGGGGCTTAGCGAGAAGTCCTGAAAAACAATACTCTGTAACTTGGGGTGACCACATTAGTGAAGGAATTAGGCATCCCCGGGTGATTTACCGAACGAGCTGGTAAAGTTTGGAAAGAAAACAAAGTGGGAATGTGTGCGGACCTACCAGACCCTGCCACCCCTCCGATGGGCGCGGAATGGTGCTGGTCCGTCGATGTGGGGGGCGGGCTCTGAGCAGTTTTTCTCACGTCCGGACAGTCCCGGGCTCCACATCGCGATCTGAGTCGCAGATAAGGGCCAGCCGGGCAGGGAAGCACCACAGTGTCACGCCACACTCCGCAGGACCAGGCCGTCTCTTACACTGAGCATCTCGGACACTCATTATCACTCACTAGGAGAACGTCGCCGGGATCGGACGTGTGCCTCAGAACCTCCCTCCACCACTACCTGTCCTCTCGCGGATCCGTCTGCGTCTAGTCATACACAGAAGTTTAAAATATTTACTGCGCCCGGGATTGAGCTGCGCGCTAGCGGCAAGGACTCCCTCCTATCAATCCGCCTTTATTTGTATACACGGAAGAATTGGGGCTAACGAACCGTAGACTTCGGGACGATCCTGGTTCTCTCTCCCGCCGCTGTTCAGTTAGGCTCAGGACTGACACATCTGTCGGATTTTATTTTGTATCGAGACGCCGAGGACTTTCGGATATCTTCAGCATGACTCAGGAGGGAACGGTAGAGAACATCCAGCCCACGGAGACCGCCACCAACACAACCCTGAACGGGGAAACCACCACGGCGACGTCGGCGACCCCGTGCGACGAGAGCGGCAAGAAGAAGACCAACGTCGGCGTGCGTCGACACGAGAAACCGCCCTACTCCTACATCGCGCTGATTGTCATGGCCATACAGAGTTCCGCCACCAAGAGACTGACTCTCAGCGAGATCTACCAGTTTCTACAGCAGAGATTCCCGTTCTTTAGGTGAGTACACGAGAAGGGACCAGCGGGGGGAAGATCCGTTCTTCTGGGAAATAGACAACAAGCAATGAGTAAACACTTGAGGCACTAAATCTGCAAAATATTTAAGTCTGCCCTTTGAAGTACAGATATTTGGTAATCCTCAACAAGTACGTACAATCTTTGCTGCTAGTGCTAGCAGTGTTTTGTTTTGAGAAGAGTTTCTCCCCAAAACTGTCTTGAATCAGAACAAGGCCAGTGTACACCCTGGCCAGTGTAGATTTAGAGAAACATTATAACCAAGTCTTGTACAGAGGGGGGAAATAGGAAACGTAGTCTGGTGTTTAAGATAATATAGCCTACAAATTGGTTTTGTGTGTTTTAGTATGATTATCATGATGTACTTTTGTTCACCAGGGGTCCGTATCAAGGATGGAAGAACTCAGTACGACACAACCTGTCGCTGAACGAGTGTTTCATCAAGCTGCCGAAGGGCCTGGGCAGGCCGGGGAAGGGACACTACTGGACAATCGACCCCGCCAGCGAGTTCATGTTCGAGGAAGGGTCGTTCCGCCGGAGACCGCGCGGGTTCCGCCGTAAGTGCCAGGCTCTGAAGCCTTACGGCATGCTGAACAACATGGTGGGGTCTGCCTCCATGCTGGGGTACGATATGTTGTCGGGAAGCCAGGGCACGGGCACCTCGCCGCTCCAGTCCCTGTCCCCGTGCAGCGCCAACTCGCTGAACGGTATGGTCAACTCCACCCAGGGCCTCATGGACACCACGGGACTCATGAGCTACACGTCCTCGATGCCTGGCAGTCTCGGCGGGAACCTCAACCAAGCACCGCACGGTGCCGCGGGAGTCGGCGGGACAGGCAGTGCCTACATGCCGAGCTGCTCTGTCGGCATGTCCGCTAACGACTACGGGAACGGGCCCAACACGGTCTTCACGTCGCAGACCACCGCGAGCTTGGACAACATGTCGTCGGGCTACACGATGTCCTGGGCCCCCGCGCCCACGGGGCACGCCCGCTACATCAAGCAGCAGCAGGACTGTGGGGTGGGGAACACCGTCAGCCCCACCCCTGCCGCCGTGTCCCCACCCATGCACGCCATGACGCCCGTGACCCAGGGGGAGACGGTACAACAACAGCAGCAGCAGCATTACCTGCCGCAACACAGCACACAGGACGTGTCAGACATGGCAGGTGAGGAAAAACACACCTTCACTCTTCTCTAGCTTTAACTACAAACAACCCTACCTTTTCAGGCATACTATTCTCTTCAGTTTGTCTTTATACCAACCGTCATTGCTGGTCTAAGCACGTTTCACCCCCGTACACACTGGCCTTTGTGGTCTACGACTACATCCAAACGAACGGTACATGTACACCAAAGTAGCAAACAAATGTGTAGTGTGTACAGTCACAATACAGCTGAAACCCTGGCATCATAATAAAGGGGTTTAATCCTGTCCTCGAGCTCGCCCGATCGGGTATTCCGTGCCGATATGCGGGATTGTAACGCCTGGAAATGATTTACAAAACACGGCGCGAACAGGCAGAAATTATCGGGACATCTCGGGGCAAATCAACGATAACATCTCCCCCACCGCCCACGTTGGAGGCCAGCTTTAAAAATCATCGTCAAAACCAAATGCCCACTTATATCGTATTCGCACTTTTTTTACTATCTTGGCGCAGTGTTTACTGTCTTAAAATCGCCTTGCGTAGTAAACAGCGAGCGCCGCAGTCCGGACTATTCCTACAGATTCCGATCTGGTTCAGACAGGAGCCAAAGTCCCCATGTTCAATTATCTCCCACCTTGGTTCCAATTTCGAGGGTCTACGGTCCTACAAGACCCCAATTACTCAATGTCTGTGCGGTACGCCTGTCTGGACGCTCGGCTGCCAGACGGGCTCGCCTTTGATATGAACTTGAAGTTCTCGAATATAATGTCCAAGTTCGTCTTGAATGGAGACACGGCTAAGTCGGGAACCTGTGCCTTTTGTAGAACATTTTCTGTCTGGGTTTTGGGACGGGAAGTGCGGCATTTGTTGTGTGGGATCTTTAGTCTCGGTTCACGTCATAATCTTTCCAATGTATGCGCGGTGTTGTGATATGCCCACTCCCTCGCTCCTTCATTTCCGCACCTGGTTATAACTAGAAGTCCTGGCGTGTCGCGGCATGGCCAGGTGACAATTTAAGCGGCCGTTTACCGTTCTCGCTTTACAGGTGTGCATTTCAAGTGCCTTTGAAGTGCTGGCTACATTGTAGGCATTGTTCTTCGCCACCATGGGCCCTCGGCCCTCAAGTGTGCATGCACCGATGTACAAGATAAATCCTGCGCGGGGTATGGTGATGAAATGCTCCGCCTGTGAATGCTGGTTCTCACGGTTCGGCATAGGCAAAGTTAGCCAGCTTATGGCATACAAGTTCTTCATCACCTGCTTTTGTCATCCTCCAAGTGCAACTGCAACGTAGATGTGCGTTTTCAAGTGCAAGTGTACTCTGGAAAGGTACACACTCCTGACTCTAGTTTATCCCTTTCGCGAGCCTTTTTGTTTGTTTATGGGGGACAGTACCCTTGAAAATGTAGACTAAGTACATACATTCTCCACGTCTATATCCATTGAGACAACTTGAGGAAATCATGAACTATGCCATTGGTCTTAAACTTCAGTAGATCCCTTGAAACCACGTATCTTGTTACCTGTGAATACCGTGTGTTTTCTGTGAGGAAACCCCTGTACACCTCGCCCAACCACCGTGACTCTACCTACCATTTCTCTCAAAATAGTTGTAGCGGGAACAGTAACATAAACTTGTAGTATTTTCCGACTGGTAGACAAACGCACACTTTTTGTAAGACACAATCACGTTAGGTTGAGGCCATTTACTGTTTTGATTCCCCGTCCGACTTTAAACTTTGCGGTGGTAAAATGAAGTTTGGGTCTTTCCTCAGTTGGAATTAAAATCGGCTCATGAGGTGTGCGAAGCTATTTCCGCGCAAATGTCGTCTGATTCTGTTTCCCGCCGAGGGAGTGTAGTTGATGGATCAGGTGGCGAGCAGGGAACGGTTTCTCCAGATCTCCCGGGCCCTCCCTCGCGCTCTGGAACACATTACGGCCGTTTGTACGACTTGTTTTCTGGCTTGTTAGGGAGTTGTAATGTTTTCCCGCAATTCTGGTCAGTAACTCTCCGGTTACAAGGCGTGGTTTCCTGGTGCATGATCGTCCCTTGTGCCCCTCTCTCTGTATCCCCATTTTACACAATGTTTTTCTTAGTAGGCTTTCCCATCGAAGGTCGTCGAACACAAAGCCGGTTCAGACTTAGTCCGTGAGGTGTTGAGGTACATTTTGCTATTTTCATTTTCTTTCATCCTTCACAATTTCCGTACCAGGTTCCTATTGGGATTTAGGCCTCCGGTTCCTCCAAAACTATTAGGAACAACCAATTCTATAATTTTTAGGCCTACAAAAGGTCTATAGATGAATCGACGTATGATACCTGTCAGAATATTAAATATCCTCTACAAACATTTACTAACAGCGACCAAACCACGTCCTTTCCTCCAAGGCCTTGTATGTTTCCTTCCAAGATAATTCATCTCTGTGAGGGCTGCCATTGTCACTTTACATCTCCGCAGTGCTGATACAGTGGGAGGTGCCCTACAGCCATCCCTGGCGCGAGCACAAACACCAGAACGTGGCATTACTATTTATTCACCGGACCCTGTAGCTATATAAAGAACAAGAATCCACGGCCACGTACAACAAAGTAACAGTAGCCTGGAACTGGAAGTGGCTACTCACACGTTTATGTGTCTAGGAGCCCGAGCGCTCTATCCAACTTAGTGTCCCAGAACCCAGTAATGCTACAGGCTCTACTAAACTACTTGTATATATTGGCTAAAATATATCCTGTTTTAGCTTCTAAAATTGCTGTCTTCTACACTCATTCTGTCCCACTCACAAAGAAAATTACCAGCCATGTAGATGTCTTTAGGGGATCATTAGAACACAAGGTTGGTTATTTATTACCGCACGTTGTAGTCTTTGCCGTACCCTTACACACATTTGCTTCCTCCCGCGGGTTTTCTCTGGGCTGAGTTTTCCATCTGGTGGCCGGATTGTACACTGAGAAAACGTTTTAAGGCAGACTGTGACCCCGGTGACCATTGTTTGTCTACGATTGGTGACGGTACGACGTTCCCTTGATACAAGAGAAGCCATTTTAGAAAGGCTACGTGAGTTTGTGATGTCCGCAAAATCAAAGACTGAAAAAACAAAAACATCTCACATAGCACACTGCCCTATGTGTGTGTAGCGACCTCAGGTTTAACATGTACTTCAACTGTTTCTCGCCACAGCTGTAGCATCTTCTCACAGATAGGATTCAGTAAAACCATCCCCTTGATTAAGGTTAGATCCCAATAAGACGATCTCCCGATGGAACCGTAACTTCCTCTTGTATCCCGGCGGTGTTCACCGTGAGACACAAGAACCTCCTCTGTTCAACCGCTAACCACAAGAAGTTAAAGTTCTGGAGTCTTTGCACGGAACCGTGGCGGGGAAGGCAATTTACGACTTATACTGTAGTCGAGGTGGGAACTATTAGGATAACGCTAGATGTAGGATTTTATCTCATATAGGATGCAACTCTTATAGTTAGTAGTAAGCAGAATTTGATGAACATTTAATATTCCGAAATGATGAAAGTCGTGCCACTGTAGTACCTCATTATCCCCTCTGTAGCCAGGCTGGGTGTTGCTTTACCCGCACAGTACAACAGGGAAGCGCCCGGGAGGTTAAAACAACAGGGACGGTTACAGCGCGTTTTGTTCCCGCTCCCTGGGCAGCACGCGTCGTGCTTTGTCCCCTGCTTTGTCGCAGGGGAAAGTGATACAAAATCCCATTCAATAATTTCTGTAACTATTAGATCGATCCTCGTGTATCTTATATAAACCGTTTCTAAACAGTTAGTCCATGCGCGGCTGTGTGAGAATACAGGGGGACAGCGAAGCCTCCTTGCGTTTGTGTCAATATAATTTGTGTAAACGTCTCACCCACTCAACACTTGTGTGTGCCACGAGCGTTTTGTATACTCCGGGCTCTAAGCTAATCGTCAGCAATCAGTCTATAACACACACAACCCACTTCTTTATTCTGGCTCCTCGATATTGTAAACTATTGTGAAGGAGTTTGTTTCTATACACGCCCTGATTTGTTAAGAAATCTAAATACAGGGCTCTCTATAGTAAACGCACGGGGAGTCGTAGTAAACTTTGAGTTCCACGTGCTTCGTTCGCACCTTCTACCCTTTAAATCGCGCCTGTTTCATAGAAAATTTCAAGACAATCATTAATATATGTTACTAATTACGTTTCTTGACCGATTGAATGTGTATCGTCGACGATCTTCCGCTAAAAAGACCTTCGCCTGTCCAAATATTTTCAGTAAATTTTCCGCGGGGACGCTGGCGTAGCAGGGAACGATGTCCTTGTGGTCTTTACAAAGCTCTGCTCCACCTAAAGTAATTAAACCCAAACACACCGTTTAGGAACATTGATGATAGTTAAGGAAAACTAGAATCGAAGTTTCCTCCCAAAATGTGTCATTTGATGGACTTTCTCATTCTTTTACGAGTTTCTTCGAGATGAGAAGGCCGGTCAGAACACCGATTCAAACTTGAACCTTGAAAAAAATCATTGGACATTGAATGGCAAGGAATTGGCAGGCGTGGTGCTTTCTTGGCCTTGTTATAATTAGAAAAGAAAGAGAAAAATTCATCTACACCGAAGCTGAAAAGTTATATACAGCGTGGCACGTACAATGTATATGCCGACGTGTATGCATTATTCTCTAGACCGCCGTGTCAAGAAAACTTTCCGGAAATTAAGTGTGACATGACCTACATGTACGTCGTATAAAATACCGTAATTCTGTTGACAAAAGGACAAACAATGTTCGGATAAACGTGTTGTATGTGGGGACACTTACTCAGAAACTCCATTATTTGTTAAACTGGTAAACTCGACAGAATATCGATCGGTACTGTCACTGTAAAAAAACTGGCAAATATTCTACGGCCTTGGCATTCATCTACACTTCATTTTATTAAATTTTCACCTACAACGTGGCCACAAATAAATGCTGATGTTAGTGTGGTTATTTTCACTTCACCAGCCGATATTTCTGTTACAACATCAGGAAGGATCTAATATTTACATACTTTGAAAGTTCATGGCAAAAATTTGTTGAAAACAGTTGCTAGCTGGGAGACATTTTTGTCGGAATACGTATCCCTTTTTGGTCCTTTTAAAACGCTATCCGATTGTCGTCTTCAACTTAAAGTATAGTAGTGTGCGATGAATCTGACGTACATTTTGGGTTTGTGGTAAAATATATAAAATATACGACCTTTCCGGCAAAATTTAGCAAACTATTGTAGTTCTGTTATTGTAGCTGTCTATGAATTATGGATACAGCGTTTTTCACCCATACTGCTATGTACACATTTGCCCTATTTCTGTAAATGTTGCTCTTTACTACACTGTGATATACTGTATGCTTTCGGGATCAAAGAAAGTTAAACTCGGAAAAAACTCTATCCGTACCATGGAATTTCTGTCGGATTTCATGAGAGATATCAGTACTTTAGCTTGTCCCACTTCCGTTCTTTGAATTCTTACATTTTGTTTGACTTCAACATCAACCCGCCTTTGAGCACCCAACGCCAAACGTGAAGTATGTAGGACATAGTTTTAAAAGTTTTCTCGAGTATCAGTCCCTTTTTTGTGCGAAAACTGCTTCTAATTCAGTAAATTACCGTCTTTTTACTCCGCTGTCTCCTGTCAATGCACCGCCATCCCGGTACAACAGGTATGACTGGCATCTTTATTGGCGAATCTGATGAAATCGTTCCGTAACCTTAACTGGAAGATTTGTAGACGTTAACTTAATCACATTCCTCGACTGCACGCTTTGTTAGGTCCTGCCATTTGCTCGAAATAATCTTTTAATCCGGTTAATTGTTTAAATCCGTCCAGATTGTTGAAAATTGTGTTAAGATAGGCCGGATAGGGATAATTCCTGTCCACGTCTCGCAGTGCAAATAGAAATATATATAGCGATTCTGTATGCCACAAAAAAGAGAGATTTAAGTTTATTTTCCATTCTTTTGTTTTTCTCCATGTTATTCGTGTTTTTGTGGCGGTAAGAGATAGCCTGTGTGCCGTCAGAGCCGAGGGTGACTTGGCCTGATCTGGTCAGGATTTGCAGAAGGTTCTTTATCTGACTGAGCCACAGATGCTGGGTGTTTTCTCCCACACTGGACTTAATACAGCTTATCTCTCTGTAAAACCGTGCATCACATATTGCCTGTCAAATGCAGTATTTGGGGTGAGGGGTGGGGGGCTCAAAATCTCCTTTGTCCATCTGGGTTTTGGTGTTTTTCAGAGGTTGCCCTTTCCAGTCCAAGATTCGGTCCAAATGTGATAGTTTAGCGTAGAAATCTCGGTTAGTAGGCTGTCCGAAGTTACTTTTCTAGTTCTCCCTAAAACTTCACTGCTCTAAAGCTTAAAGCCACAAAAAGACGCAAATGATTAGATATTGAAATACAATATATAATCATATAATTCTATAATTATATTCTATAATGTATGATATAGAAACATTTTACTGTGCCTTCTTTTGCTATTGCGGTCGCCTTTCAAAGGACCTATACGACTCCCAGTATACATGTACAGTATAGCGTATTGGCACCACTTCACAAAGTTTGAGGTATCATGCGTTAGTATATTATTCGTACAGCAGAAACGTTTTTGTTGCGTCTTGTTAGTTTTGCTATTGCAGCCGCCTTTTGCCCTATACACCCGGCCGCGGCCCAGTATGTACTAGTACATGTATAACGTGTTGGCAGCACGTCGCGTGTGTCGCCCAAGTGTGGGCTTGCTAATTTCTTCCGCACCTCCGCTATCAAATTCGGGCACATATCATCCCGGGAAAATGCCAGGACAATATGCAGCGGGCTGAGCCACGAAAATCAGACCACCCGAGGAGACGCAATCTCACGGCATCGCTTTTCCTGACTCCCAAGTACGGACCAGAAACCCCAACTCGGTTTTCAAGAGCGATCTCCTACGCAGCAATACCACCACACACATCTACGGCTCTGAAGCATTCTGATAAAGTCTGGAGTTCTCGGCTGCAACTTTGACAGAAACTTGGAGACTAAGCAAGAAGTGGATGGTGGTCATTAGTTAAACTTCTCCAACCAGACGATAACGTAACGAATGGACAATGTTGTCGGGGGCGACAGCAGATATCCCCGGACCCGTTCTGTAATACATACTCATACACAACCGGGCCGGATATAGGATACGGAACAGGAGATGGACGTGAACTTGTGACATAGTGAGAACAATGCACGGTTCAACTTTAATCCCAACAGGCCTGTCGGGTTATCTATTACACCAGACTACTGAACGTGCAACATTTAAGTAAGAAAACAATTTTATACCGGACAAAAATCACTTTCTCCTCTGTTTTCTTCAAGGGTTCGTCATTTAACCATTGACACGGCACCGATTTAATGAATGATAGTGACCAAAATTAAAGCTTTGATAGCTGTCGTAATGTACTAGAACTAACGTACTGGGTACCTTGCTTTCATAGAAATAGGGGGTCTGATATATCATATGAAACACCTCAAAAATATTGAAATGCGAGTCTAGATGCGTAGAGTATGCAGCCCGTGTGAAGCTGATTTCAGGACGAGCACCCATCAGACGTTCCCTCGGGACTGGGTGGCTCTGCCCGAGCGTCCCCCCAGGCCGTCCCAACGGGAATGGGCTGCTAGTTGTGCCCGGGCAGTCTCCGGGCCGTCCCCTCGGGAGTGGTCAGCTAGTTGTGCCCTGGCTTCCCCGCTCCCCGTGCCGTCCCTACGGGAGAGGGCGGCGCTGTGCCCGGGCGTCTCTGGGCCTTCCTTTCGGGAGTGGGTGGCGTTGTGCCCGGGTCGTCCCCTCGGGAGTGGGCGGCGCTGTACGGACTTCCCGCCGAGCCTGATTTGTCTGCACCCCGCAGCGTAACGTGTGGTTCACCAGCCCTCGACACAATACCAACACCTCTAATCTAATTAACACACAAACTTCGGCAGACTTACAATCTTGCTAAGAGGCTAATAATCCCTTTCATATGAGGACAGCTAGTGAACCTTTTTACGGAACCATGGGGCTCAAATGTCTTGAGCGAGATCTTTACGCCCTTGGCCCTTAATTTTTCTCCTCACCTTTTGACGGTCGCACCTAATTCTCCTTGACCGCCTACTTCCTTCCAAAATGTTTTCCTTTCCTCTGTTAAAATATAAACACGAAAATACAAGGGGCCTTGTTAGCAATGTCTTGTATTTTCTGCACAATAATGTGATGTATGTATATTTCGCCATGCCACTTTCTCCACAAAGCAAACTCTTGCCATGTGAATGCTTGTTGTATATTTTGGGCAAGAATGTGCTTTCCCTATACGATTGTCTTTGCAAAATTTATCGTATGATCTTGTAGATAACCTAAATAGAAAGAGAAAACTGTTCACCGTTTCTTGTGGTATATGCGTTTTTCTTGTGGTATATCTGTTATGATAAAAGTAGACGAAAGTTTCTGACCACAAATTAACTATTTTCTGTATCTGAGTGAAGACGCTGTATAACCTATTGGTTGTAGGTAAAGCTGATATCTCTCTATGTGGCGTCCACACACATCACTCGGGTGCGACCAAACAATAACGACAATGTTTCCCGTTGTGTTTTTCCAGGTAACATGTCCATGCGGGGTCTACAGTCCATGGCAGACTCCAGCATGTGCGACCGCAAACCGAGCTACCTTCTCTCCTCTCTACAGTCCAGTATACACACCGGGTACTACGACACCAAATGTTCTATGTAGATAGTCCAACGGGACTCCGTTCTATTTATACAAGGTAAAAGAGTAATGATAATGAGTATTTTGTAGTACTGCAGTGTTAGGATATCATGTGCGTACATGGCTGTATAATGAGGATAAACTATGTCAGAACAACAGCCATAGTCTCAGAAAATATCAAGTGCCTTACCGTAGATATATGGAAATCTCTTACGATTTATTGCTCATAAAACAAAACTATAAAATGAGAATTTATACGTTGAAGGATAGATAATTGTGCTCGTCTCTGACACAAGACAATGTACAATGACATAGCAGATTTACAGTGTATTCAAGCGTAATGTGTTATAGGGTTATAGTGCATTTGTATCTATGATGTTCACATTCTGCTGTGCTTTGTATTCATGAAATAGGAAATGTTTCTCTACAATATCAAACGTAGGAAATATAAGTTTGTTCTGCTGATAGCTAAAGTTGTTGTAGAACAGTGCCCAGTGTCATCATCGGCTGAAGATTTAGGAAAAATGACTTTATTGAAGAAGCGTATTTGAGGATTATGTTATTATTTTACTTCTCAAAGTTGCCAATGAAGATTTAATTTTGTACAGTTTTTTTCTTGTTTCATTCCATGTTATTTTATCACATATATATCACATCGTATATCATTAAGATTAACGTTACAAATGTATCATATCACGTAGCATGTTCTTGCATATTCTAGTCGCGAACATTCCATGTTTATAAACGATCTTGTATGTAAAGATAGACGAATGTATACAGCACTTATTTTCCTATAATTACCTGTACAGCGAGTTGATTCACATGCAGCAAAGTAGGAGCCAGATGCTGTGATACTGATAGCGATGTTTATAGTCGGAAAAGTTGAATATTTTTGTAATTAGATGATGACAGCCACTTAGAGTCTGAACTACATACCGACAACTGACATGTGTTACACGAAATCCATTTAGTGTAACGTTATAGTGGAGCTCACTCCACCTGAAACAGAGGAGACACACTTTGGAATATTTCCTTCTGTAGTATTTACATGTCCTGTGTCTGGACGGAAAGACAAAAATAAAGACCTGTATTTTGATGACCCAAAATTGCGTGTGTTGTGTGGGTAGTTTTAGTCTACAACACATGACCTCGGCATTCGGTAAGGACAATGCTCGACCTTTCTCCCTATGCAAATACAGTATTCTTAGTCTCGGATGGTCCGCCACACGGTACTTGTAGGTTGAAAGCCCCCTATCATGTTTGCTTGGGTAGGTGATCATGTAGAATGGGATGGAATGCACTAATAGCACATCCTACAACTATCCCGTCATCGTCATGTTGTAGGACAAATATTGCGTGCTGTTTTTGTGCCGTTCGTTTTCTTACTGCTAGATGAACATAGCGGTTATTGTGCACACTACTAGGACAGCTATTATACAATACTGTTGTACCAGGTACGGCTTTATACCACGCAGTTGATGTGACATTTTATTATGCCGAAGAAAGAGGGAGAGGCAGCCGGACCCGCATTTAATCTGTTTCCGTCTGTTAGCTACATTGTCCCGCGGCATTCCGTAAATACAAGCCAGACAAATGAAGCTTTGACCGCTCGATTGGAGAGGGGTAAACTGTTGGCACAACCCTCCGCTGACGGTATGCCTGTGTGTCCAGAACGCCTGCCTGGCTGCGCACATAGAAAACGCCCAGAACTTCTCTCATGTAGAAGCTCACAAGATATCCAAACTTTTCACCCCACGTAAGATTTTATGTGTAGGTGGTTGTCGACACATAGAACACTATGTCGTCACAAGACGCAGAAACAACGTTACCTTTTTACACAGGCGTTTAGAATTAACTTATTATAAAATATGTGTCTCTCTATACGACTATCTCAAACCATGGTAGCAAGGCTCTAAACTGTACAGTGAATTGGTATCCGAAAACTGCACGGTTGCCTTCTATCTATAATTTTTGAAATTTAGCCCCAAACCCTACGTCGTATGTTCAAATACTTCTGACTCTGACCATAACTGCATATTGCTCACCTTCCTAAAATATTAACCATAACACTTGAAATCTGCTTGAAATATACGATCTCTGTTGAAATTGTTTTAATTTATGCTAGATATAACATTGCATTCAAGCTAACTTCACCAATATGCCAACTAAAACGTCCTGACATATAAGCATTGCAGTGTCCTGAGAATTGTCCTACAAGGACAAAACCACTGGACTATCGCCGAGACAGTTATGTAACACTACACTGTCTATGGGTATAGATCTCAGTAACGACGCTTGAAAAAGCAGGGAGAAATTCCATAATTTTGTATAGACGTAACGTACACCCATTACCAAGTGCAGTGTCAACAACACGCTTGAATTTCAAATGTCTTCACAAGAAGAGAACGTGTAAAACCTTGTCCAGCGGCGTGCTTAAATAAACGTTAGTACAATATGCAAATGCTAAGATATACCAGACTTGTCTGCAACACATACACTTTCACCTGTGTCTGACCCAAGGGATCAGAGGAAGACCTTGAAGTGATCTTGGTGAATGGAGAACTGTATTTTACACTTTAGCTCAAATTATCGGCGGAAAGTATTGCATATTCTCAAGGGACAGGAACGTTTTCTGAGCCTGTTTGGGGTAGACACAGAAAGATGTACAAAGGTGACTGTAAGAAAAGAAAGCTACATTAGTTTAAAATACTACATTGTCGCAGACGACAGACGGGTGACCCCAGTGGCTCTTGAAAACGGAAGTGTCTTCTTACTGTTTTGAATGAGTGACACGCACACCCCATTCTCCTGTCGTATTTTGGGTAGCGGCTACATTTCGGCCTCCTCTGGCGTTATATTTTGGGTATTTTCTTTCTTGCCGTCTGCAAAGCCGCCGGTCACATGTGACAGAAAAATACAAAATTTCCACTAGAAAGCATGTTCAGAACGTGATATTGCATAATCTAATCTGGTTTGGTACGGTGTGGTATCTCTTGTACACGACCTCCTTTTTTGTAGGTTTTAGGGAGAATGTTTTCCCCCGTCACAGTGTGGCAGCTACATAATCCGGCCTGGCAACGCGTAAGTCAGTCCATTCAAGGCCAAACACTGTGTTATATTTTGGGTGAAGAAAACAAACGAAATAGAATAAATCTTGACTGCCCTAAAAGGTACGTGCGGAGGCTGGTTACTGCAGAACGTGCAGGAGGGCTCGGCACAGGTTATTTAGATCCGTTCACTGCAGAAGTAAGGGGAGCTTCTTTGGTGTTAAGAGACTTTAAATGGTGCTTTAACATAGCTGCGATAAGATCTAGTCTCCAATGGGTGGTTACTCCGTAAGAATGTGGCGGATTAAGAGCGGGAAACGTGCGGAGAAGGCCCACACGGTTCCGAGCCAGGAGGTAATCGTCACCCTACAAATGTCGCGCTAATTCCACGTGTAGCGCCTGCGGGGAATCGACGTAGTCAAATTTTCTGCTAAATTTAACCAGGCTCAATTAAAGGTAGGGTGGAGCATGGCGGACGGCGAAGCATGTTCCTACCTGGGACAGTCGAGGGAAAACAAATAGTCCCGCGGACGGACACGGTTGGTTGGTAGGAGGCCAGGGAGGCAAACAAAATACCCTAACATCACAGCATATTAAGCCGCGGGGAAATAGTGTATGTTACCATAGTCAAGTTGGAGGCGACAAAGTTAGTTTGAAACAGGTTGTCAGCAACAAGTGCATTGTATACAAAAGAAAACGTCCTACAGGCGATGTTCGTCGTTTGTAAACATTTGTTAACATGTTATATTTAACTTATCACGTATCTAATGTTACTAGAAATATGGAAACATTGTAAAAACATGACAATGCAATATTTTCCGTATATAAAACTTGCCTGCCACAGAAGTGTCATGAGCGTTATGAGTGCGTCAGGGACGCGTCGTTAGTGCGCCAGGGGTGCGTCAGGAGGGCAGCTAGCACTTTCGTTAAAAAACAACACAGAAATTGTCTATTTTCTTTCGTACCACAATGGACTGAATTGTTGCTCAATTCAGACTGAATTGTTGCCCAATTCAGACTGAATTGTTGCCCAATTCAGGTTTTAAAGGCCAATAAACATTCATAATCGTTGACATTTGACATCAGATTGACATTTAACTTTATTTCACATATTCCTCAACTCGGCCAGAATTTGATGGTCATGTAGCCATTCTGCAACCAGTACACTGTTTTTCAAACTAAACGGATGCTAGCGCTTGTCATCAAGTGTAATTCTTCCGTAAGCTGTCACATATTTGCCCCATTAAATCATCCCCAGCACCGCTAATAGGTGGAAGGACAAAGTGTAGAACTGTTCCTCTACAGCTGATTGTTTGCTTAGAAGGGCCGACCCGAACAACGCATTACCGTCACCAGTTCCGATGACAATGAAACACTCCAGAGATTTGCGAGGTTGTTTTTTTCGTGACGACAGTGTCCAAGTTGAGGGTACGTCTGTGGATTGGGGCGTTCTTATCTTACGATCTGGACGGACGTTTCACGTCCATTAATGCACTCTGACGTAACAATGACGCTGTCATTCATTCAAGCGTCAGGACACAGTGCAAGTTCAAGTTCAATGATCTGTGCAAAGTGTTTCAATGCGGCTTCAATAGAGGCGACGTTTTGTATAAGAAATGGAGGGAAGAGGGGCATTAGAACTTGGTGAATTGCTCAAAAGTTATTCAACATATATTCAAAGACGTGATGCGAAGGCGGTCCATTTAGATGCATCATTGAGTGGTGTGTTGTATCGCACACTGTAGCAAAGAACTTGAGGCTATTGTATCAGCTATGCACTACAAGAGGACAATGTGTTATCTTCGAATTCTTTCTCCAAGTGGTGTGTAGGGGAACACGTTTGAGTAATTCTCTCATCAGTTGTATTGAAAGTCTTATAATGTTAGCGTGTTGGTGTGTATCTAGTCGTAAGAACATAGATGTTCCAAATATGTCGAACACAAGGAGACTTGCACTATTGAAGGCTTGTCTCATATTCATCATTCCCACCAGGGTAGAGACAGAAGAAGTGGACTAATGGCCAGGTCCCAGGCTGTGGGACTCAGGGTAGGGCCAGGCATGGTTTGTGCTATGCCCCTGAAAACGCTGTGCAGATGTATACCAACATACGCGGGTGGTTAGTGCTGTGTCTTGGCTTGCTGTGTCAGTGTGCAGTGCTGTACGGTGCTGTCGCACCTGACGACACCATGCTGATTTACCCGTGTCATGGGTGGTTAGTGCTGTGCCTTGGTGTGCTGTGTCAAGGTACAGTGGCTGTGCTTAGCGATGCTGTGCGCGCCTGACCAGACACTCCGCTGCATCAGCTGTAATTAAGGCTCATCAGTTCCCCCCATCCCGTGTCACCAGGAGACGAGGATGGCTCCCAGCTGGCCGGGCTGCTGATGGCCGTGACGCCGCCCGGACCACCGGCGGAGAACCCCGCCTGATGAACGGGTCTGTTGTCGGCAGCTCGACACTAAAAACCCAACCTCTGATTTATGGAAGACTTTGGGACTGAACTCTAGCCCGGTAATCATTTAAATCTGGGCGTGCTGACGGGAGGGAAGCTTCCTCTCAGAAAGACGACATGTTCGTCAATCGGTAGTTCTGTTGTTGTCTCTTCTCCCTGTTTTCAAAGGAAACTTTGCATTTTGGACCACGAAAAAACACCTTCGTCACGACGCATCCCAGCAGCGATGAAGAGAATACCCCAATTATGCTATGTTTGACTTTAAGTACGATTGTAGTCTGACCTCTACCATTGCTTGCTTCGAAACACCTCTTTTTACCTACTTTGAAATTGCCAGAAGTGAACTAAAAGGGCGATTTCTTGTTCTTTAGGAAAACTTGGTAGCCATTCTTTCAATTCTGATACGAATTAATTTCCTCAAAGAAAGTACGATAGGAAAGTAAGAAGTTTTTTTACGAACGGAGATATTGCGAGCAGAACTGCGTTTACTATTGTATGTTCGGAAATGTTGGAATCATGACGTGTTGTCAACAAATTTGAGCGTCGAGAAGCTCAGTAAACATTGTTCAAATGGTCAAGTAAATTCCATCCTCATGTCTATT